ATATCAATACACACACACATATATATATATATATATATCAATACACACACACACACACATATATATATATATATCAACACACACACACACACACACATATATATATATATCAACACACACACACACACACACACTCACACACACACACATATATATATATATATATATATATATATATATATATATATATATATATATATATATAAATAAGGTAGACCGGCTGACAACCATTATATGGGGAGGATATCTCAGAATTCAAACATCCTTCAGGAAAAGTTAACAGTTTGCAGAATTTGTCTGTTTCCTTCCAAAAAGTGTGGATGTTTCTCCCCAGGCCTTCACTAAAATCAAATCATCTGTGTTACTTCTCTCGACTGGAAAGTCTATCATGTATGCGTGTGCGCGCGAAATATAGACGTTAATAAAATGACTGAAGAAAAAAAACTCAGAAACACAAACCTCAAGCGGAAGACACTAAGCGATAGAAAGAGGTCCACATCGATTCGAAAATAAACACATATAAAATATATTATATATTTGGTCGTATAGCAGAACAGGCAGCAAGAAGTAAAGACAACGGGTGAAGCATAAGGTTGGTCAATTAATAACAAACGCAGCATCGAAAACGATAAAAATATTAGCGCCATCTCTTTAAGCACGGGATTCACAAAACCCATATAGCAGTTTTATTTTGGTTTGGTTTTGTTTTGCGGCATATCAACACCTCAATGGGTCATTTAATGCCGACAAAATTTTTATTGCTGTTAATATTTTTCCAAAAATGTATTTCTGTTAATATTTGTATCAAAAAAATTATTGCTGATAATATTTATTTTCTTCAAAAATGTATTGCTGGTAATAATGGATTGCCAGTCATAATTTTTCCTTCAAAAAATTTGTTGCTGCTATTAAAATCGATTTTTATACTTTCATAGTGTTTTAACCCCAGTTTTGGTTCTGGGACCCTATCTGGTACTACCACCCCAGGTCAGGGTGGACCTGGGAACATCAGCAATTAAGAGGTGGTTCCACGCTCCTCAAAACCTCTTGATCAGAGGCCTTGCTGTTGCGCATAGTTTAGTGTCATACACAGGACGTGGATGTAGTTTAGCGTCATACCCAGGACGTGGATGTAGTTTATCATCATACCCAGGACGTAGATGTAGTTTATCGTCATACCCAGGACGTGGATGTAGTTTATCGTCATACCCAGGACGTAGATGTAGTTTAGCGTCTTACCCAGGACGTGGATGTAGTTTATCGTCATACCCATGACGTAGATGTAGTTTTATGGGTGAAGGTTGCCGTGTAGTGTTAATGAAGGCAATACTCGATATTTTATTTGGATTACATACAGGAAAAGTTTATATCTTGATTTGTATAGTTGTACTTTTTTCGAACAGTTTCGTATTTAATGTGTTCCTAGAAAAAGGATATGAGTAATTTTTATGTGAAATCGAAATATTCTTACCGCTTATTTTCACGTTACTGTGTAAAACGGATGAAAAGCAAATGGTTAGACACAAGAGATGCTTTCATGTGGTTTCAGCTGTCGGCCAGCCTTTTTGATCTCGAAATAGCTCGCCTTAGCGTCACGTGGCCTGTTTACTCGTAAGTTTCTCACGTATCCAAAGTTTTAGGACTTATTCCGGCACCTTTTCGCTGAAGCCCGTCATCTTGGTATATACGAGAATATAAATGGTCTTTTGTTGTTTTCAAAGATACCTACACCCTGCTTTCATTGTCCAATTAGTTATGGTAGTGAACTCAATCCAATGTTCATACTTGTGGCTTCTGGAAAGCAATACGCTTGTGTAATCGTTTCAGTTTTTAATGATCGTATGTTGGCCTCATTCCAGTAAAAGTTGAGTAAATGCCTACATGAGGGATCTTGTCGAATTATGCTTTACAAAAGGGATCGATAGTGTAGTGTGTCCAACAAAAACTAATACACGTGGTGACATAAATCTTTTCCGTTTACTTTTATCAAATTTATTCTTTAAAAACAGCAAAAAATCAATTACAATTCATTCAGTGATATATTCACCGTTATTTTCAACAACCTGTTGGTGTTTATCAGAGAGTTCTTTCGTCCTGGATATGATGATAAACTACATCTGCGTGCTCGGTAAGGCGATAAACTACATCCGCGACCTCGGTAAGACGATGAACCATATCCGCGACTTCGGTAAGACGATAAACCACTTTCGCGAACTCGGTAGGACGATAAACCACATCCGCGACCTCGGTAAGACGATAAAATACATCCGCGACCTCGGTAAGACGATAAACCACATCCGCGACCTCAGTAAGACATAAACTAAATCCCACAGCAAGGCATTTGATAAGAAGATTTTGAGGAGCGTGGAACCACCTCATAATTGATGGTGTTCCCAGGGCCACCCTGACCCGAGGTGGTAGCACCTGTCAGGGTCCCAGCTATGGGCAAATAAAAATAGGTTTTAATACCAGCAATAGCTTTTTGGAAAAAATATTACCAGTAGTACATTTTTGAAAAAGAAAAATATTACCAGCAATACATTTTTGGAAAAAAATATTTCCAGCAATACAATTTTGGAATGAAATATTACCAGCGATAAAAATATTTTTGGCATTAAATAGCCCATTGTGGTTGATATGCCGTAAAAGTAAACAAATTAAACTAAACCAGAGAGTTCTTCGGTCCCTTTTGACTAAAATGTCTTGATTTGAAAGAGTCTCTAACGAACTCTTGAATCTGGTTTGCATTAGAGAAAGTTTTTCTCCATCAAAACGTGTTGCAGAGACAGAAAAGTGTGATGATCGACTGGTGCAAAGTCAGACAGAAAAGGGTAATAATCGACTAGTGCAAGGTCAGACAGAAAAGGGTAATAATCGACTAGTGCAAGGTCAGACAGAAAAGGGTAATAATCGACTAGTGCAAGGTCAGACAGAAAAGGGTAATAATCGACTAGTGCAAGGTCAGACAGAAAAGGGTAATAATCGACTAGTGCAAGGTCAGACAGAAAAGGGTAATAATCGACTAGTGCAAGGTCAGACAGAAAAGGGTAATAATCGACTAGTGCAAGGTCAGACAGAAAAGGGTAATAATCGACTAGTGCAAGGTCAGACAGAAAAGGGTAATAATCGACTAGTGCAAGGTCAGACAGAAAAGGGTAATAATCGAAGTGCAAGGTCAGACAGAAAAGGGTAATAATCGACTAGTGCAAGGTCAGACAGAAAAGGGTAATAATCGACTAGTGCAAGGTCAGACAGAAAAGGGTAATAATCGACTAGTGCAAGGTCAGACAGAAAAGGGTAATAATCGACTAGTGCAAGGTCAGACAGAAAAGGGTAATAATCGACTAGTGCAAGGTCAGACAGAAAAGGGTAATAATCGACTAGTGCAAGGTCAGACAGAAAAGGGTAATAATCGACTAGTGCAAGGTCAGACAGAAAAGGGTCATAATCGACTAGTGCAAGGTCAGACAGAAAAGGGTAATAATCGACTAGTGCAAGGTCAGACAGAAAAGGGTAATAATCGACTAGTGCAAGGTCAGACAGAAAAGGGTAATAATCGACTAGTGCAAGGTCAGGCGAGTATCGCGTGTAGAGTAGAATAGAGAAACCCTTTCCAGAATATATTTCGGTGTTATATTTTTAATGTTCGCCTAATATAAAGTCATAGAACCACTCACGATAGAAGTTCCTTGTGTTTGATGTATGGAAGTAAGTAGTGGGGGTTAGTGCACATCATAAGGATATGTAAGATAGGTAATAGTTGACCCCAGACTTAAAGAGAATAAGATAGTAGGGAGTCTGTTCCACAATGTAACAGATCTGAAGAAGAAACTGAATGGAACTTCCTTTTATTAATGGAATACGAAAGGAATGAGAATGGTTCACCTCTGTGGATATATAGCATGGCGGGTCTTAGCTGTAAAGGTCTGAACTAGTAGAACTAGGGAATATAGGTTGTTAGAATATTTTCCATGGAAAAAGCTATAGTGTAGCGAGAGAGGCTAGCGACGTTTGGACTGTGGGAAAGTGGGTGTAGGGTGGAAAATAATTTATTGCCTACAAGGCCGCGTAAACGCTTTTGAACCGTCGAGGCTGAAAAGAGAAGATTGGGTAACTCATATATATGGCAGCAATACTCCATTTCTTGTTGTATGCTTCTTTAAATTGTCATGGAGGAGAACAGCATTTCCATTTAATCCATGGTGTACGCTGCAACTCTCGCAAAATCCACGGTGTATTCTGCCACTCATGCAAATCCACTTTATATGCTGCCACTCTCATGCAAAATCCACTGAGTAGGATGCTACTCTCATACAAAATTATATTGTAGGAATGTTATCATTATTATAAATAAAAAATAAGATATAAAATAATAATAATAATAATAATAATAATAATGAAAATTATAAATAAAGTAAAATAAAACAATAACATAAAAAAACTTGTTTAAAATAAATTAAATAAAAATTAAAAATAATAGAATATTTTCAACATGCAACAAAAACTGTTCCTGTCGGAAATATGGACATCCCACCAAAAGACGTTAACTTCAATCTCTTCACCAAGAACCTTGGTACGGACCACACGTGTCTGGCTTCTCACTGGGGTATGACTTGAAATACATTACTCCCTTTTATCACATGTAACTTAAAACAGTTGTAACCTCAAAAGATACACAAACCAATACACACAAAAAATATAAACAAATTGTATGAAATTAACATAAAATTTACCATGTTTTTCTTGTTATTTGTGTACGTTTTATTTCCTGTCAAGTGTGATTTTATCTCTGTGAACAAGAAGCTAATTTCTCTTGATGTGAGTGAACCCTCACAACATTTTGGTGACCGCCGATATGTATGTATAAAGAAAACAACCTATTTACCCACAATATCACTGAATTCATTAACCGACGCTTTAATCTTCTAATCTGTGGGACAAACCTAGAGGCAGAACTTTAATATTCTTCTTGCCTTCTCTGCTACTGATGTAGCCTTGCTATGGTGCTTGGCTTCCTTTACTGCTGCTCCACTTACCTTTGTATCGCCATCGTTTTCTTTTCCTGTTATTTCTTTCTATGTAACCGTGGTATTAGGTACTAATGTTTCTGATGGATGATGGTCTTTCAATCTTAATTAATAACTCCTAATTGGGGCTTTTCGGACAAGAATTCAAATAAATTAGAATCAGTGGGAATTATTCAAAACCATCGATGTTCAAAACCATAAAATATACGAAAAAAAAATTGAGTTTGACACCTAACAAGCATGCAAAAAAACTTTAATGAAAAAAATTCATATCATGTATATTCTCGCTGGTAGAATATGAAATTAAAAAATTCTCAATTACACTCGTGATCTACATTAACATTTCGTTACCTCTCAAGAGATATACGACTCAAATTTTGAGAAGTGTCTCATTACAATCTACTTGATGAAAGCAACGGAACCTGACCATGACCAATGCGAGCCCGTCCTGGGTATGATGATAAACTACATCCAGCATTAAAACAGATGAGGGCTTTTGAGGAGCGTGGAACCATTTTTTAGTTGCTGTTGTTCCCAGATCCATCCTGACCTGGGGTGGTAGTACCTATTAGAGTTGGGGGAGGGGTCCTAGCTGCGGGCAAATAATGAGCCTGCAAAGTGGGGTCAAAACACTATGAAAGTATAAAAATACAATTTTATGGTAAAAGATTTCCAGCAATAGGTTTTAATAGTAAAAGAAAAAGAAATTACCAAAGCCCCCAAGGAAATTAAATTTTGGCATTAAATGAGCCAGACGGACTTGATGTGTTGCTAAAGAAGTAAACCAACGAACTAACCCAACAAGGCAAGTCTTCAAGATGAAAGATATCGGTTGCGGTTTGATCTGGAGAAGGATGGCTTCAACCAGGCCTTCTTGTGAAAGAATACATTTTTGGCTTTTAATCCCGATGAAAAAGATGCTGCTGCTGATGATGATTCAGTACCGGACATTTTTCTTTTTTTTAGAAACTTATAATTAATACGATATTTTTTTATTTTTACATTTAATATTGGATATTTCCGGGTATGCTTTAATGTTTTCATTCAGTTCCGCTGTGAAATGGCTCGCAAAATTTCCCCAGGAAGAGCGTTTATTGGATATTTATTTGGCGTTACACCGGTTTACTAAATAAAAGCGCAAAGCGATTTTTATTTCCCCTGGGAAATTTGATATATTTTTTTATAATAAATAACAATTTTGACCCTGACTAAGTGTATTATTAATGAACGAATCATTTGAAGGTTCATTTTATTGACAAGGTTACATGAAAAACCATAAATCTAAATGAAATATTTTTTTAACTTACTTAACACGAGGCGTTCCATTTTGATGCAGTCAGCCTCTCGGCCATAATTTTAACGATAACTGCTGGCTTTATTACAAAATATTTATTTAACCCGAACGGGAGATGCTTTGTGTGTGACTTCCGTCCGGTTACTCGCATCAAGAGACTAGATCGAAATAAAATCATCTCACTCTTTGCCGGAAAGGACAAGAGGAAATGGTCGCTTACGACAAAATCTAGATTTTACAAAATGATCGAATTTATTAATGACTATCATTACACGAAATATTTCGAAATTGAGTATTTAAAAAGACGTGCTTAGTTTTACTGCATTTCGGCTTGTCAGTTTTCCCACCATTTTTAGTCAACATATTATTTAAGATGCTTCTTCTTTCCAATCGCCGTTGGCACCTGCACGCATTCGAGCAACGGGATCGTCAGCCTCTGTCCTTATTTCCTTACTCCCCTTACTCTGGTGGCGGAGATGGCTGTGAAAGCCCAGCCGACTCCTGAAGAGTCGTAAGCAGGAGTCATAGAGTAGTGTAGGTGGCCGACGCGGATGGTCGAGTCGGACCCTCCTGGCAACGCGTCGCAGAATATCTTTATGTTTTTATATATAACAACAAACCATCCTCACAAAACAAACCCAAAATGTAACTGCAGAATAAAGAACGAATGCCCGTTAAATGGCATTTGCTTGAAAAACAATATAATATACCAAGCCACTGTAAGATCAGCAGATAGCAAAGAAAATATACATAGGAATAACTGAAGGAGGCGGGTAACGGGAAAACAACGCACGCAAAACAACAAAAAGGATATAAATAGTAAATATCTAAATGTTTATGTGAAATTAAAGACAAAACAAAGTTACACCCAAAAAATGGATAATAAGGAAAATAGCATCAGCCTACAAAAATAAATCCTAGAAACGGAATAATGTAAGAACTCTGGAAGAACTAAATAAAAAATTAACATTTTTCTTAACTGCAATAAGGTTGTTTCCCGCATATACATTAATATATATATATATATATATATATATATATATATATATATATGAAATTACGCAGTCACTCGAATCCGAGGATGCCAATCTACTATGACGGTTTGCTAATCATAATTGCAGACGCCTACTTAGGCTACTTTGCGTTTGTTCAACACCCAAAGAGGTCACCTGTGGTTTATACTGAAACTAGGCTGAGCACACCTTAGTTACAGATTCTGGGAGAGAGTAGATTATCTAGCATGATAAACAATGTGAACAAGGCCAGCATACTCAAATCCTCGGTCACTATGACTTGTGACTTCGTGCTAGCACAACCACCGACAGCTCCTAATTTGATCCACAAGGCTTGGATCAACTTGTGATATGGTTTCCAGGCAATTACCAAAGGTGCCGCACGCTGGGATCGCCTCCTTCAGACTGATAACATCAAGAACTCAACTTCCTGATATATATATATATATATATATATATATATATATATATATATATATATATATATATATATATATATGAGAAAAATTTCTCAGAGTTAACTTGTAGAAAAAGCCTATATGTATGAAGGTAAAAGACAATAAGAAAAATGTTTTATTAGCCGACATTTTTCGTCCAATATTAACTTTTTCAAGGCAAAGACGAAATGAATTTATTAAAAACAAAGTAACTATTAACAACAAACAAAATGTCCTTGGTAATTAGAATACATTTAGAAAACGCTATTGTATTCATATTGACGTAATTTTCAGTTCAAAATATGAATACAATAGCGTTTTCTAAATTTCTTCTAATTACCAAGGACATTCTGTTTGTTGTTAGTTACTTTGTTTTTAATAGATTCATTTAATTTTTGCCTTGAAATATCCACATTGGACGAAACGCCTCGGTTAATAATACAGTTTTCCTGTTGTCTTTTACCTTTATACGCGCATGCGCGCGCGCACACACACACGCGCACACACACACATATACATATATATAAATATATATGATTTAAGAATGAATCAGCTGACACATATTCTGTGTGAGGTTAGGTCTATCTGTCTTTTGGTAAACTATTGCTATTAAGTGAAGAGAGGAAAACCCGGATGCTATAGTGTAATTGTCAGGCTGAAGAGTGTTTCAAATCTGCCATTATTTCTTATTCTTATGAAGTTTGAAGAGAAAAGTTCAAAGATTATTTTGTAGCGATAAACGGTTGGCGTTTATTATTGATTATTTAGATAATGAGAGAAATGATTTTAGAAAATCCATTGTAGTATTTATTTACACTGCTGTGAACCCTGCTGTTCATTCGCTTGTTTTAATAATTATGACAAAATGGCGATAGAAATAGAATTTATCATCATTTGTACTTCTCTCATGTCCGCAACCTTTGGAATGAGAAAAGAGAGGCTTGTCAGCAAAAGACATCACCCAAGATGCAAGCTATGAATGTGAGATGTCAAAAATGCGAAAATACAGAAATGTAACTTTTTCAATCACTTTACTTTAAGCAAGGTAATAATGCCACTGAGACAAAAGGTGGGTCTGGATGTGAAATAGAATGAAAAGACCAGAAACGTAATCTTAAACTGGGAACAAGGAGTAAAGCTTTACACTTGTTCAAAAGATCAGGGAGGAGTGTGAACCAGACGTTACAAAAGGGCATTTTCAGACAACATATATTGCCAGACAACGTATATTGCCAGACGACAAATATTGCCAGAAAACATATATTGCCAGACAACGTATATTGCCAGACGACAAATATTGCCAGAAAACATATATTGCCAGGCAATATACAGTAGCGTCCAAAACTAAGGGACAAAATTTTAAAACCTAATATTTGTTAGAAATAACAAGTGTGAAAAGCTGAAATTTTGACAACTGGTAGTCGTTATCATCCATAATAACATACTAAAATTTGAATCATTTGCAAAGGATAGAAAAAGAATTATAACAATTATTTTTTTATTTTCAAAATAGGATCGTCCAAAAGTAAGGGACAAAATTGAGAAAAACAATGTAAACGGCAAAAAAAAAAAAAACAATAAAAATACATGTACAATCAATATTTAGTAAATGAGCCCTTGCTCTCAATGACAGCTGCACATTTTCTCTGGTCCCGAATTAGAGCCTGTGTTAATGTATATAAATTAGACCAAACCCGGATATAAGAGAAACCCGGTTATAAGAGACTTCTTCTCCGGTCCCGACAACTCTCTTACATCCGGGTTACACTGTATCTGTGTTGTTCCATATCCGTGTTAGAGTTCTTCTTTATTGGTTCTGACTTGGACTATCACCGTGGTACAAGGAACCAGACCATAACACAAACATTGCTAATATCCAGAAAGGATGAAAATCATATATATATATATATATATATATATATATATATATATATATATATATATAGGGTGAGTGTATACTTTTAGAACCTTTTGGGGCGGGTTCCTCAAACCAAAACAAGGGCAAAAAATCCATATACTATATTAGATTTAAAGTTTACGGTAGAAGCTGTTAAATGTAAAATCCAAGATACAATCCCAAAATACTTATTACCATAGTTTGCGGTGCCATGGATCCTGTCACAGCAACGCGACGATAAACAGATAAGTTTGGTTGAATCAGCTGCCTTCGGTCTGGAAACGCAATCTGACACAGCCGTGCAGCCTCGCGTTAATTACCATTCGGGCGGTCGTATGCATAAACCATATATGTCAGTTCATGTTATGAATATCCTGTCATTATTAAACGGAACACTTCTCAGTTAACTGACAACTACAAACGTTAAACGTTGAAAACAGACTAGCTACCAATGTAAACGAATGAGAAATGTAACCTAGTCTCCATGGCAATACAGCGCCATCTACTGTAAACTTTCGTAAAACTTAATAACTCAAAAACGAAGGATTTGCTGACATGTATATATGCTGTCGTTTTGGTGTGATGAAACGTGGCCTGACGATTGCGTCTAGCATGAAACAGACTGTCGCCTCTAAGTGTTGACTTCAATGTGCACTTTTGTATTTACACACGCTCTAACTCTGATATTGAGCACTTTATCCCATAAATATAGCACACCTTAAGACTATATTTCTTCATATATATATATATATATATATATATATATATATATATATATATATGTGTGTGTGTGTGTGTGTGTGTGTGTGTGTGTGTGTTTGTGTTTGGTCGACATAGACATATCCTTCGTTTTTGAGTTAACATTTTAAAGTAAACAGACTAGTCTCAAATGCACACAAATGGCAAATGTAACTTAGTTTATATGGCAAAATAGCGCCATCTAGCGTAATTTTTCTTTCAGACTTAAATCAAAAACGAAAGATTTGCGGACCTGTGTTTATATGGACTTTTGTTATTATTTTGGTGTGAGGAAACCGAAATATATATATATATATATATATATATATATATATATATATATATATTGTGTGTGTATGTGCGTGCTTATGTATGTGAGTTTGTGGTATATAGATACACTTGTGTAATACATCTGTATGTATATATAATCGTTACAAATGTCTACGAGTGAGCTCCAATTTCTTGATATCGTGCCTTTATCCATGCAATAATCCAATTCTACCCGACTCAGTAATTTCCTGTGTTTTGTGGATAAGTTTACTTATTAAAAAAATATTGTTGCCAGCAATCAAACGATATATTTCTGCTCTCGTTAACCGCTAAATTCTTATCAGTCGTCATGAAAATCATTTCTTCAAACGAAACTGATGTTGTAAGCATAAAATCACTTCTGTTCGATGCAGCCGTCTGTTGAATCATTTGTCTGATGAATTCAGCCTTTGAAGTCTTGAATACCTGCTAGTGTTGGTGTTACGCCATTGATTAATAATTTCTGAAGAGAAAAATTGTTTCAGAAACGGTTGAAAATTGCTTTTATGCAGAACTTGGAACTAGAAGCATCTCACCCTCGTACCTCTCTAGAAGAAAATGAAAGAAAGAGTAATCTCTCTCTCTCTCTCTCTCTCTCTCTCTACATATATATAAAACAGAGGATGTCTGTGTGTCTGTCTGTGTGATACCTTTTCACTCGAGATCCATCTAACTTGCTGTATACATTGTACATTGTAAGAGATAAGTTCTTAGCAATACAACTCAATAAGTTTTAAAAAATCAATAATTGATAAAGCCGATCAAAAATCGATAAACTCAACTTTTTTCCTCCTATTTTGTTCGAATTCAGTATATAGGTTACTTACATCATGACGAGCTCAACGATACATCATTTTTATTTCTAGGCCACTGCGTTTAGCGAAAAACCGCGATAATGAAAAATCGATTTCAGCACAAATTTTAAACTAAAACCGTCCCTCAATTTTCAAGTAATGTAATAGAAACTTCACCCAATTGTAGCCAACAATAAGTCGATTGTTTAACCATCATTTAACTTGATAATTGAGTCAACCCATACAGTGAAAACCCTCGTAAATAGTAACAAATGGCGATTTTTACTGGTTTCTTATTTTTCATTGATCTTTCTACCAATTTTCATCAAACTTAACAATTGCTTTATAAATGGATCCTCTTTTACATCCCTGGTAGCACACTGACAAATTTCAAAAACTCCAAAATAATTGTGGTCTGAAGTGGGTCTTCATTTTGCCTGTTTTTCCCCATTCATGTCCTCGGCTAACTTCGATTGAATAAATGCAAACTACTTCTGTTATAACAGTAACTGCATTAATTCAAATTTTTTTTTTAATGAAAGTACTTTAAAGTAATTGAGGAAGATAGACTTTGTTACATCTAAACATGATGCTGTTTTTGCTTCATTCTAATTGAACGCTTTTTTCTAATCGACCAGCTGACTGTGGCTGTTAGTACACTTTAAAATATAATGGTAAAAGTTATTTTCTGTTCGATATACGGCATATGCTCAGTCTGATCAACTGATGCCTTTAAATCATAAATAATTAAGAATTTCTATCTGTAAAATCTATTTATAATATTGTTGCCAATATTGTTCTAGTTTAACTAAAAACAGTAGTCACTAAAATATTTACATGTAAATGACGAGAGGTCATTATTTGCAGAAGTAAAAGGAAATCAAAGGAGCGACACCATTGAATCAATAGCTGCATCTACTGCAACGAAAGTTGGGTCACTGCGTTCAATAGATACTCATAATCTGCATTCACCTCCTCCTTTTATGTCCATCTAACAACATCATTCAATAAATCTCTAACTTGAGTGGCTCTTGGATTTTGTATTGGGTGAACATTTAGTAAAAAGAATAATTCACATCGCTTTTCAATGAGTCAACTTACAGGTGGTCGCACTGACTCCCTGCACATCTGAATTCAACAGAGCGTTTCTATGACGCCAAAGACCTTTGCTTACTATAAAATCAAAACTTTTTACATGTCAGCATATCTTAATAAACACAGGCTGTTTACCACGCCGAATTCGCTTATTAGATGTGTCTAAATAAAATCGGTTATGGCAAACGAATCTTTTCAATAGTATGAAGAGACATCCTATGTTCGATTCTAAAAGGGCGAAAGTTGACATATACTTTTTGAAATAAGCGTACAGATTGCTCATTTCAAAATCAGTTAGTCTGGAAATCAGAAATCTCTATGTTGATTGATTGATTGTATTTTTACGGTTTATCAATCCCTTCCAGTTTATTTAAAGGCAGATAATAATGGTTTTACTGATACAAACCCTACTATTTAACCCATAGCTGAGATAGAAGAGGTGGATTCATGCCTTTCCCCATGAGGATTTGCTCGTTACCCATATACTCAACTCACATATACAACCTTGTAATTAGTTTTGTTTCACATTTATAAATATTCATTGGTGTTTAGATTTTTGTTAATTGTTATTTTATTAACCTTCAGCCCCACCTCCCCGTAGACAAAAATTTTACATGGGGGGGGGGCTAGTTTAGATTTTCATTCAGGCGTTGAGGCATTATGGCTGATGAAATACGAATGGTAAGTAAGAATGCGGTTGTTTTGGTGTACAGAATATTGTAGTTTGGCTAGCTAAGCTTAATGTTAAGAGAGAAGAAGACTGTCCTTTTCCCCATTCCCCCTTTTGGCCTTGTGCCACATTTCTGTATATAAGCGGAATAAATATCGATCTCCGAACCGTTATCCATATACACAACTCGCACATACATGCTTACAGCACCTGGTATTCCACAGCGGTCACCCATATAGGTACTGACCAAACTCGACATTGCTTACCTTCGGTGATCGTACGAGAAGCGGTGTTTTAAATCGATATGACGGCATTATAGGAGGCACGGTGGAGTAATGTATAGCGGCTTGGACAGGTGAACCTGTCGAATCCATTGCATTCACTTACGTGCTAATACCCTTGGGAAAGGTATGAATCCTCTTTTTCTTCACCCCCCCCCAGTTATGGGTAAATAGTAAAACAGATCGGGTTCTATAGCCTCAGATGGCAACTGGTCTACCGCCGAAAGAAATGGAAACCTTCTACGGGGAAAAAATCTGCCTCGTCAGTCATGTATCAAAAGATACCTGATCGCCTAAACGTGTATGACGCATGGCACATAACTGACTGATGACCGTAAACCTTTCTGATTTCGAGAAGAAGGATAGAGACAATATTCCGACTGTTAGGTTTCATGTTTTTAAATATCGTATTAAACAAAAAATATATGATGTGAGACCATTTTCAATTTTCTTTAAAAAATATGAATTTGCGATCTTTTAGTATCATACCGACGACATGTACAATAATATTTTAATAGACAAATTTACCGAGCACTGCTCTACGCTAAGGCAACCTTAGAGACCTTTATATAAATACATTTTATGAAAAAGCGTTAAATCACTTTTTATTTAAAATCGCTGGAAAGTAGATAAAGAAAATCATTAGGTCGGACTTCTTATTTTAGTAAACGTTTCTGAATTTGACTGCGTTTTCTTTGAAGATTGATAGGAAGAATCGCCAGGGCCACACGCGAAGCTGAGTTGTACGGCCGTCAAGGAAGAAGAGAAGAAATACGAACAGTTTCAGTTGTAGACAGATTGACGTGTAAAGCAAATATATTTACAGTTTTCTACGCGGTTGCAGAGAAAATCATTACATCATGGCTATTATGCGTCTTTCAATAAATACTTGGCGTGTAGATGAATTTGTTTGTGCTAATGTTTCATTTTTCTTGTGTTAATATTTATATATAACCTCCCCCCCACACACACACAACCACCTGAAGTCTGCCTGGAACGTATTTAATCAAACTGAATATAATGATAACCGGTTGCGCGGCCTTCATGTTGGTTGGTTTATTTGATGAGCGACATATCAACCTTTATGGATTACTTAATGCCGAAATCTAAGTATTTTGAACAAAATTTTATGACTTCAAATGAATATATTTTGAGTGCAATTGTATGCTTTCAACTACAGATAAAATGTATTGTTAGTCATTTTTGTATAAATTTTATTGTTGGTAATTTTTAATATAAATAGGTATTGGTGATTTTTTTTTTCTATAAATAGGTAGTGTTGGTATTTTTATATAAAAATATATTACTGGTAGTTTTACTATAAAAACTTATTTTTATACTTTCATAGTGTTTTGCTTGGGGGTCCACTATTTGCTTATAGATGGGATCCAAGCAGAAATTAAGAGGTGGGTCCACGCTCAAAACCTCCACATTTCCAATGAGCG